TGTGTAGCACTTGTAGCGCTTAAACTGCTTGTTGTAGGTGTTTACCGACCTCCAGCTGGCAATATGGATACTTTTATCTCTGCCTTAGAAATGCTTGTCCTTAGCCTTGCAAACTTCAGGAGTAAGTATAACCCCATTGTAGGGGGCGATTTTGACATTGATGTGCCGGACCTTGCAAATCCTAGGACTGTGCGGTTCTGTGATGTTTTAAGATCTTTAAACCTGTATTGCACAAACTTTCAATCTACTGTATTATACATGCTTAGATAACAGATGCTTGTTATTACCTTGTATGCTTTTACCACATTTACTTTGTTGCATTATGATATTTGTATCATTGAACGTACTTTATCTAGATATAATTCATGTATTATACTCATATATGTATTATACTATTGACGCTTGTCCATGCACTGTTTTGTGTTTATGACAATAAAAATCTTGAATCTTGATAACGTATAGTCACAGACTTGAGTCATGAACGCTTTGGAGTTGACGTGGTTTCCTGGGCGGTAAGTGATCATTATCCTGTATCTTTTGCTGTTTGTAGGGTTCAAGTTCAAGAAGACAATTTCTCTCCATTAGTGACCTAAACTATTGTTGCATCCTTTAACTCAAGCAACAGTGCTTGATTTTGCTGAGCTATTCAGCCACGTGAACTGGCACAATTTGTTGACGGACTCAGATGCTGAGAAAAACTTTAATACATTCTTCAATGAATGCTTAAATATGTTTGACCTTTGTTTTCCTGAAAAGTGTGTTGTTAAACCCCAAGTAGGCCCAAAAAAAGAAGTCTAATCCTCAGTTGATCACCCCTGAAATCTTAGTAAAGAAAAAGTGGGTGATCATGGCTTATGACGTGTATAAAAGTAAAAAAAACACAGCAAGCAAAGACTACTTATAACAACTTGAAAAAGGAGTATAGACTAGAACTTAAGGCAGCTAAGCAGAAATTTGTATGGTTTACAAATTCAACAGCTACCAATCCTTGTTCGGCTGCTTGGAGGATCATTCGTTCAGAGACCAAGCCGAAAACTACTAAGTCGACTATCGTTTCTCCGGATACATTTAATAACTTCTTCCTAGACTCTGTCCAAGCGGTAAGAGATGAATTTGGTACTCCAGAGGTTACTGCTTCAGCTGATGAGCCAAAATCTCCCCAGGTGCAGACCCAGCTTAAATGGAGGCTAGTTGGGTGTGATGACGTCATAAATGTGGTCCGTAGTATGAAAAATACCAAGAGTAAGGATGTTCATAATATCTCAAGTGATTTCCTAAAATGTATTATTACTACCATTGCCTGGCCTTTAACATATTGTTTAAATCATTGTATGTTACAAGGCGTTTTCCCAGCTTGCCTGAAGAAATCGAAGGTCGTGCCTGTCTATAAGAAAGGTGCGTGGGACGAGCCCGGGAGTTTCAGGCCTATCTCTCTTGTTCATATCCTGTCTAAAGTGTTTGAGACTCAAACACTGTGATTTCAACAAGGACTCAAACTTTGAGTCCTTGTTGAAATCACAGTTGTGTTCACATTTTGAAGGCAACGGGCTGCTCTCTGCCTCCCAGTATGGCTTCCGGCCCGGTCTGTCCACTGTGGATGCGGTGGACAGCCTGATCCAGGGTGTCTTGAGCTCCTTTGAGTCGGGTGGCTTTGCTGGGGCCACCTTGTGTGACCTCAGTAAGGCTTTTGATACTGTGGATCATGACGTGCTGCTCTGTAAGTTAAATCATTACGGAATCGGAGGTGTTGAAGTGCAACTGCTCCGGTCATGGGGGACGTGAGCAGCTGGTTGTTGTGAATGGCCAGTGCTCTCGGTCTCGTCCTGTTGACCATGGTGTTCCGCAGGGATCTGTCCTCGGGCCTCTGCTATTTATAATAATGACGAATGATTTGTCCAGTCATGTTGAAGGTGGTGTGGTCTGTTATGCAGATGACACAACACTGGTTCATAGCTCAAACAATTTTCAAAATCTTGTGGAACTCATGGAGCAATCCCTTGTACAGGCTTCGGTTTGGTTTCATGCTAACTTTTTGTCTCTCAATGAAACCAAAATACAATCTTTGGTATTTACGCTGAAAAACATTAAACATGATGTGGCCTCTGTTAAGCTCCTGGGTATTTGAATTGATACAAAACTGACACTTGGAACCCTCATATAACCTTGGTATGTAGTAAACTCTCCAGAGTTATTTTCCTTTTGAGAAGTCTAAAAAGTTGTCTGAATGAAAACTGTTTAAAAAAGCTATGTAGCTTTTTTTCAAGGAGATCTTTTGTATGGGCTCAGACTCTGGGGTGGGTCTGCTGAAATTAATGATGTATTGCTAATACAAAAAAGAGCTGTAAGAATCCTAGCAAACGCTGAGTATGGTACTCATTTGCAGACCTCTCTTTGTAAATGAGGAAATCATGACTGTATGTAGTTTGTATGTTTTGGTTTCAGTTGTGCATGTAAAAAATGATCTCCAGTCACTTAGTCGTAGGGGTGATTATCATATGTACAATACCAGAAATAGGAACAATATTGATGTGCCTTATGTTAGGTTAAGTAAAACTTTTTTTATAACAGTGTTATTAACCGATCAGCATTACATTGCTATACAGGTTAGGTATAATATAAGAAAGAAAAAATAACATTATTAATTACATTAACATAGGTAGAAGTCAGCTATGGCTCCTCAGGCACTTATTGTCAATGTTTTAGCGGGTCGGACTGTAAAGGCGCTGTCCACCAATGAAACACAAATGAAAAAAATTGTTATAATAAAACATCTTGAGGCAATCTTGGTTTTAGTCGGAGTCTCTGTATTTCAGAAGGTTGGCCTGTGTTATAAAATCCAATGCTGCTGGTTAATGGAAGTTTTTTTAAATAATTTTGATGTAATTTTCTTGATGAAATCTTCTATAGGTTTTATTGTCTGTTCTAAAAGTATTTGACGGGTTCGAACACACCAGGGACAATTTAGAATTATCCTTAAAACTTTATTTTGAAACGTTTGCAGTCTACGAATCGAGCTTGATGAAGCAGTTCCCCATACTGGGCAGGCGTACGACAACAGTGGACGTAGAAGTGTTTTGTATAGAAGGGTTCCATTCTTAATATACATACATGATTTTTTGTTGATTAAAGGAAACAATTTTAATAATCTGCCATAAGCCAAATTTAATTTTTTATTAATATGAAGTTTCCAATTTAACTTTCGGTCGAAGTATACACCTAAATATTTTATTGCTTGGTCAGGAGGGTTTCATGCAATCTGTTCATCTAGAATTTATAAATTTGGAGGATCTAACGGTTTTCGGAGAGTAAAAATCTTCATCGCTTCATTCTTCATCGGATTTATGGCTATTCTCCATTTTGTGAACCATTCCATCAAATCGTTTAAGGAAACTTGAATGTTATTGGCCACAACTTCGATGTCATGGTGTGTAGAGTAGGGTAGGGTGTCATCAGCAAACACGGCTTGGACATGGTTTGACAATGGCAAATTAGAAGTGGAAATATTATATAATAGAGGTGAAAGAATTGCGCCCTGTGGGACTCCGGCTTGAGTTCGTCTGGCAATTGATAGGGAGCAATCAATATTAACTGAAAACGTTCTTTCTTCAAGGAAGCTTTCAATAATTTTTCTTTAGTTAGGAGGGGACTCCGAACTTTCTTAGTTTAAACAACAAGCCATCGTGCCAAACACTGTCAAAGGCCTGGCTTACATCAAGAAACACTGCGCAACAGTATGACATTTTCTTTCAAATCCTTTGATGTCTTCAGAAACTCTCAAAAGTTGGGATGTGTCGTGGAATGGTATGAGCGAAAACCAAACTGATGAGGAGGTGTCAGAGAAGCACTATCTACGTAGGAATCTAGGCGTTGTTTAATCATTTTTTCAAACAATTTAGAAAATGTGGGGATGAGGAGGCTAATCGGGTAATAACTATTTACTTGCGATGCAGGCTTTCCAGGCTTATGGATGACAATTATGAGAGAATGATTCCACATTCGCGGGAAGTATGATTTTGTGAGACAGGCATTGAACAGCTGCAAGGAAACAAGTCCTTTTCGTGGTAGATTATGTAAAATAATGTTAGGTATTCTGTCGTGTCCAGGAGTTTTCTTGATTTTTAGCGACTTTATGAAGTTAGATATTTCATATGAAGAAGTATATTTAATTGGCCTTTCCACCGTGATAAGTGGGCAGGAATTAACTGTGGCAACATGAGCTGAAAATTCAGGGTCTTGAAATTCATCATTCGGACGAAATGAACGCTGATAGTAATCGGCTAAAACGCGCTTTGTCCGTTTTGCGTTCATTTAAGTAAAACAAAAAGAAATTCCAGCCAGTTAAAGGCTTCTTAACCACATTTCTTGTACAGCTTAGAACCAAACCAACAGAAAATTCCAAAACAATCTCCGGGCACTTTTATTAGCTTTCCCTCTTTATAAGACCAGCGATTTCTTCGACATTCCAAAGGAGACTGTGAGAGAGTTTTCCCAATGTAAGTAACAGATTGTTTTGTTTTGACAGTAGTTTTGTGCATGGTTTGCTTTTTGTTTTGTTTGCTGTGTGATTTTTTTGCTTTTAGTTTTAATTTCTATGAAATTTGGTTATTGATATTTGTTTTGACGATGCCTATTGCATTTCATGCCTAATGGAAAATAAAGCATTTAATTTAATCCTTTATTCGATTTTTACTTATATCTTTTTCATATTATCAGCAAGTTTGGTTGGTTAGGTTAGGTTATGACAGTTTAATTTTATAATACTAAATTTTAAAATTAATTTTACAAAAAAAATTTTATTTTATGATTGAAAAGTTAATTTTACAACTAAAAATTATAAAATTAATTTCAATTTTTTCAACTTCTATGCGAAAGTATATAGTATAGTAGTTTTCAACTTCTATGCGGTTCTAGCGGCGAACGCTGACACTACAAGCTATGTTAGCCATAATCCCTCCCGTGTGCCCGACCGGCCAGGTGGCACTCACCACTGTCACCCACCAGTGAAGTGAGTGAGTAATTTTCAGCATATCAGCTGTGTTGTTATCTGAATCGGATCAATTTCAATTCACAGATCATCAATCAAAATCATAATAACAAAAACAAACGAAACAAGATTATCAAGAAAAGAACATCATACTTGTGTAAGACAACTAAGTAAAAGTAAAGATGTGTTTATTGTTTATTGGATTTTAACCTGAATTAATTATCTTGCAATTTTTATTTTTAGACTTGATAAACTTATTGCGTCATTCATTACATGTCAGCATTGACTATCGCATACAGAAGTTGTTGTATTAACAGTCAAAGATCTCAAGTCAGTATTAGGCCTATTTGTTATTGAACTAAAACTAGGCTATTAGGACTTCCTACTTATGTATGTCTAAACTAAGTGTTTAGAACTTGCATCACACTTGAAGTAAGTTTAACTTAAACTAGGCCTAAATTAGTTAGTTTGTAGGCCTAGACTCCGATATTAATTTTACTTAGGTTAATGCATTCCAAATGCATGTTACATGTCTAACGGAATAATTCAAATATTGATTCATGATTTTTTAAACTAATTGATGTCAACTGTAGCTTTAGTTAGATATAAAAATTAGCTTAACGTAACTTAGTAGCCTACCAAAAAACTTAACATAGGTATAGGCTAGGCCTAGGCATTGTTGCAGGTTACCACAAGGGCCTAGGCCTAGCTAACTTATAGGATAGGCTTAGGCCTCAAATAATTTATTGTCCGTAAACATATAAGTTATATTTTATTTTAACATCAGTGGGTAATTATTCTGTAGAGGTACCTCGAAACAATTTTTTTTGTCATGGTGTATTTATAAATAAGCAAGTTAAACCTTTATTTTAAGGTTTGGTCCTATCTTAAATTAACCCTGGAACTGCCAATTAAATTTCTTCAAATGCCAACACTTTTTTCAGCAATTAGGCCTAACATACATTTTTTTAAAAATTCGTAAAAAATATTATTTGTATGACTTAACCCTGGAACTGCCAATTAAATTTCTTCAAATGCCAACACTTTTTTCAGAAATTAACATACATTTTTTTAAAAATTCGTAAAAAATATTATTTGTATGACTTAAGTAATGTATTATACATCATTTTATTCAGAAAATAACAAGGAATACAATGGTAAAATTTATTTTGTAAAATAACAAAAAAAAATTTTTACACACCATATTTTTTTATACACAAATTTTATAAAAAAATAATTTCCGCATTTTATGTCTCATGTCCAATACACATCAGAAATGCCACAAGAATTCCAAAATATACATTTTGTTGCAAATTTTATCTAGTTTTTAGAAATAAATTTTGTTTACTGAAAAAGTAATATATTATTCATAAAATTTGAGATTTTTCACATGATGTGCTCGGTGAAAATTCTGCGCGAACCGTCTACATATGGGAAACATATGTGTCTAGAATTATTATAGGGTGAATGTGGGTAATTGTGAACTGGGGGAATTGTGAACTAGGGCTGTAATTTCTTAGTGTATTGTTGATTTGAGTAGAAATCGATGTTTTATGTTTATTTGGTTTGTTTTCTATACAGGATAAAAATTCTAGAAAGTTAAGAGCCGCTTAACATTTTTTTTTTAGGTTGAAAAAAAAGTTGGGTTTTTCGTTGACAAACAAGTTGCGTAGACCTTTGCAAATATTTTTTTTGTGAAAAAAGTAAAAGTCAGATTGACATGAAAACCAGTAATTATGAAAGAATTTCAAATGTATAACTTAATGCATTATATATCCTCAATCCATCCTCTGTAAGCAATTTTCGTTTTATTTTATCAAATTCACAATTACCCTCAATATTTTATAATGTGGGGGTAATTGTGAACCTAATCTTGGGGCAATTGTGAACGCTGTTCACTTTTACCCCGACTGTAAAAGAAACACATTTTTGGTTCTCATTAAAGATTTTCTTCAAACCAATTATGCTGCCAACCCCAGAAACACTGTATAAAAAAATACAGATTACTTACAAGTTTCCAGGTTGTGTTCTAGTTTTTGAGATGTAGGCGGACAAGACAGTTAATGATTTGATTTCTAAATAGGTTTTTCAAGATTAAAAAAAAAAATTTTTAGTACATGTAATATTTTGTATAGCCTAAAAGGAAAGTGCCAAATTATTCTATCCAACCAATGTAATTTAGTTTTCTTTTCTAATGGTTGATTGCTATTACAGTAGGATTTCAATAATTTTATTAAACAAATTTGTACTCTTTCATTTGTTAAAGTGAGATTATTTTGTCATTTCCTTTAAATTTTTGCTCTACTGTATCAAATAACTACTCTATATTATTTTCTCTTATATAAGATTATTTTCTCTCTCGTATAAGAATACTATTTTACCCTTTAAATACATTAATTTTAAATATTCTGACAATTTTTTGTTATTTTTACATCTACCTGATTTTCTAACTAGGCTATTTCAAAGTACCACGGAAAAATCTCATTTGCACACTTATTTTTTGTCACATGCCATTGAAAGTGGGTTATTTGTGAACAGCTTGAATTAGGCTTTAATCACAATTCCCATCATATGCTGTAGTATGTAATTTAATATTTTTCTCAACTGAGTTCACATTTACCCCAAAATTGTAGGTAATTGTGAATGCCGTCCGGGCAATTGTGAATGCTGAATAACTCCTTAACTAAATACCTGGTATGAAATCGGCTTATATGAAATATTAAGCCCAAAATATGTATAATTCTATAACACTGACCACATTTTCAAAATTGCTTAAATTTTTTTTGTAAATTGCGTTTATCTGAAAAATTCGTCATTGGCGTTCACAATTACCCACGTTGACCCTAAGTCATGAAATACAGCACTAGTCAGTCCTAATGTGCTACTAAACAATGTAATTCAACAAAAATCTAAACTAAACATAATTTGAAAAGCATACCTGCTAATTTTTGGACTATGTATCCACGGTAACGATAAACTCCAAGAAGATAAATGTTCACAAACAGTCACATAACAATAATAAACCAAAATTATAATTCACTTTCTTATTTGAAATAGCCTACTCAGGCATAAACACAAAAATAATAAAGTAAAACACTCAAGATTTGATTGTCAATAGCAATATTTTTACAAGGAACTGCAAAAATTTGGCCGAAGGCAACTTGGCCAGAAGAGGGCGATTGTTGTTCCTGACTTTAGTCAGAGTCACTTTCATTTTCTGTGGCTGGTCTCTTTTTTTTGACTTAAGTGGCCTGTAAAAGTGTTCCAACCTCCCAAAGCACTGTGGGTGAACACCAACATTACACCCAGGGCACCTCCAGCTGCTTTTTTTTCCGCAGACGGGACAGACTCTCCTTTGATTCGATGGAAACTGCACTAGATTGTGTTCCAAGGGATTTACTTGAACAGGTTCTGCAGGTAGTTGTTGCCTGACAAGTGTTTCAACAATATCCACCATGAATCTTTTCCTTGAAAGAGGGTGATCTGTGTACCTGGAGTAGGCTATAAAATGTAGGCTAGGCGTTTAGCATGGCCATGTCCATTAGGTTGAAGAATATCTTTCGCCAATACTTGCGAGTTGGCCTGGTACATGAGTGATGATATATGGATTTATCTTTTTGAGCCACACCCCCCATAGATAGATTATACTTGTGAATAACTAGGGGTTTCACAGCTTGTAGCCCACTGCGACTAACTATATTTCTATCCTCCGCATGGCAAGCAGTTGTTATAAGATAAACGGGTTTCCTCTTCTTTTTTTGCTTATAGCCGACGAGCAACACCTTTCCTTTCCTGAAATAAACAGTTTGACCTACCTCATATTGTGTTCCTACTACTGCTCGGGATAAATCTTTAGACTTCTTGTTTACTGTACCAGTTAGATATGTGTCGTTGCGTAACAAAGCTTCGGCTAGGGGTAGCTTAGTGTAAAAGTTGTCTGTAAAGACATGATGATGTTTCCCCAACAATCGAGTCTGATTCATCATCTCAAATATAACTTTTTGAGTGAATGGATCATCTCCATCACTCAAAAAGTCTTTACCACTATAAAGGGCAGTATAGAGCAAATAACCGGTAGCACTGTCACATATTTCAAATTTTTTTATTCCAAAGCGCGCATGTCTTTTGTTAGGCATATATTGTATAAATATTGTCCGATTCTTCATTCCTATCATACTTTCATCGATTGCTAGGTTCTGGGAAGGGACAAAATGTCTTTTGAAAGCATCATTCAAGTGATCTAGGAGTTTCCTTATTTTCTGCCAAGGATCATAACCCGGTTCTCCTTTAGCGATAAAAGGCTCTGAAGTGAGATGAAACATTGACGATATAGCCTGGAAACGGTTTCTTGACATAATTTCAGGGAAAAATGGAACTCTCTGGCTGAAAGATTGGTCCCAATAGTCAATAAGATTTTTTTTTCCAATTAGGCCCATATTTATAACCAGCGCTATATACTTCTTCATTTCACTGTATGTTACGTCAACCCAGTGTCGTAACCGTGACTGTCCCCTCAATTCCCCCGACAATCTCCTTCGAGTTACTTCTCTCGATGCATATGCATTGTTTTCAGTTGTGAATAATATCCAGATTGCGTAGGGGAAAAACAAATTGAAGTAAGCAATTGGCTTGCTGTTGCGGGGTGGACAGTCTCTAATCCCAGTATTTCTCACAGTAAACTTAGTTTCTATATCCTCCCCTTCAGGTTCTGGGGGGTAGACCCTTGTCCAAATAGGCCTAGTAATATTTGGAATTGGGGGTATTCCTAGCCTAGCTGCTGCATCCCCTCCAGGACCAGGAGGTGGAGCAGGTGGACCCAAACCTACGGTTGGTACATCTAGGCCTACGTCTAAATCTGTTACTTCTCTTTGACTGGTATCTAATTCACTGCTATGTGGGACATAGTCATCTTCTGATCCAGAGGAGAAGTCTGTAACACTATGTCCAGGTGTCAAACCATAAATGTCTACATCAAGATCTGATTCATCACCTGTCTCATCACAAGGCTGACTTACTGATGGGCTTGCCCCTAGGCCTACCGGCACCACGACTGATTCTTCTGATTCCTCTGGCTCAACTTCAGAATCAATATTATCATTAGTTTCACTAAGATCGTTAGTACAAACAACTTTTTGATCCGAAAAACACGCAAAAACAACGAAATAAATACGAGATAACCGACCGTGTTTACAGACGACATCACTACTGCATAGAAACAACAAACACTTTTATCAACATATGTTAGCAGGCCCGCCAATACAATAAAACGTAAAAACTGTCATATTAGCAGGCAGCCAACCTCTTTGGCTTTACATTGATGCATAAAATACTTCGTTCCGATGAGTAGAAGCATATATATATGAAAAATACTGGATCGGTCATTTTGTGACCGATGGCACTACGGAACGGACCCTGTTGGTCATAAAATGACCGATCGGCAGTTCCAGGGTTAATGCAGGCTAAAACATTTGTAACAAACCGGCCTGCCAAGTTAGGACTTTAAAGTCAAGTTTACCTGACTTATTTGTATGTTCAATAAATATTAAGTAGGCTAATTCCAGTTGTATCATTTTAAAATGAAATGAAATGAAATGCTTTATTATCCATTAGGCATAAAATGCAATAGGCATCGTCAAAAACAAATAGCAATATACAATTTTCATAGAAATTAAAACTAAAATGCAAAAATCACACAGCCAACAAAACATAAATCAAACCGTGCACAAAACTACTGTCAAAACAAAACAATGTGTTATTTACATTGGAAAAACTCTCTCACAGTCTCCTTTGGAATGTCGAAGAAATCGTTGGTCTTATAAAGAGGAAAAGCCAATAAAAGTGCCCGGAGATATTTTTGGAATTTTCTGTTGGTTTGGGTCCAAGCTGTACAAGAAATGTGGTTAAGAAGCCAATACTTAACTGGCTGGAATTTTTGTTTTTGTTTTACTTAACCTAACATAAGGTACATCAATATTGTTCTTATTTCTGGTATTTATTTATTTATTAACGGATGCACCATTTTTACATGTAATACAATAATCTTACATCAGAAGCAGAAAAAAAAATCACAGGTCAGTACAAGAGTAGTGGAAAAAAAACTGGAAAACAAAACTTCAAAACAAGACATAAAAAGATAAATAACAAGTATAAATAACAAACTATAAATAACTAACTATGAATAACAAACTATAAGTAACAACTATAAATAACAAACTATCTGAGCAAGTTGACAAAACGAGATACAGTATTCGAAAAACAAAACCAGTATGGAACAATACAATGATGCAAAGCAGTAGCCGAGTGAACTTCAGTAAAGAGGCAGAACAAACTTCAAGAAAACAGATAAAACATGCAGAAAAATAACAATATAATAAACTCTGTGCAAGTACAAGATATAACAATAACAACAGGATAGACTATATTAACAAAAATAAATAACAATGCAATAAATAGAAAGTTTGGAAACATGCAAAGATTGATGCAGGAGTTCAGGATAGAGTATGAGTTCGGGATGGAGTAGTGCAAAGGTCGGAGGTAAGCATTTCCCTCGGCAAACCGATGCCAACACACGCACAACCCCCGGATCCCCCCACTGACCCCACACTATTGACATAGACTCACTGAACCACCGTGAACACAACCCCACAGATGATTTCTAGTGCGCTGAGGCTAATTGGATTGAAGAATGGAAGTCGCTCTCCGTTTGAAGGCAGCTGGGCTCAGGCCATCGAAGAAATTCAGATGAGAAGCTACCATGTTGCCAAGACGCATCAATCTGGGAAGAGGAGAGTGTTGTAGATAGTTGTAGGGATAAGATCTCTTGTAGAATAATTCACGTGATCTGGTTCGATTGGGAATGCGGAATTCAATTTGTTCTAGGAGCTCTTCACAGTTGATAGCACCCGTTAATAGTTTGTGGAGAAAACTGATATCCACCACTTCCCGTCGAAGCTTTAGTGGGGTGAGGCCTAGATCAGTTAGGATGTCAGGAACAGGAGACTCCAAGTATCCGAATCCGAGCTTAGTTCCCACCAACCGAGCAAATCTTCTCTGGATGGATTCAAGCCTATCGCATTGGCCCAGGAGGTAAGGTGACCAGATAACGGAACAATATTCCAATTGCTGGCGTATATAGGAACAAAAGAAGCTGAGCAATGTTTTTGTACTAAAGGGATCCCTAGATATTCTGCAAAGGAGACCCATAGTTTTGTGGCCTCGACGACAAATCTCATCAACATGAAGGTCAGGTGAAAGGTCAGATGAGAGAACCACCCCTAAGTCACGAATGCTTGTGACACGCTCCAAGTAAGTAGTGTCAACCATATACTGAAATTCGATTGGTTGAATGTTTCTATGAAATGAAATGATTTTGCACTTATTTGGGTTCAGCGACATTAAGTTCTTTGTTGACCACTCGAGGACAGAGTCAAGGGCTCTCTGCAGGTGAAGACAGTCTCGCACGGTGTTGATTTCCAGGATGAGCTTCACATCGTCGGCAAACATTAGAGAACGGACTTGCAAAACACTGGGAAGGTCATTCACGAAAAGAGAGAATAGGAAGGGTCCCATCAAAGATCCCTGTGGCACTCCTGAAGAAGCAGGAATTGGAGTTGATACTGCGGAAGCGAATTTTACACAGAGACTCCTTCCAGACAAGTAGCTGCCAAACCAGCTCAAGAGATTTCCCATGATTCCATAGCTCTTCAATTTAATGAGAAGCGTTGAGTGGTTTAGTTTGTCGAACGCTTTTGCATAGTCCAGATATATGACGTCGACCTGATTGCCCCTCTCAAAAGCATGCAATATTCTGGTTTGAAGAGTCAGCAGATTGGTCATAGTTGAACGGCCTGCCCTGAAGCCATGTTGTTCGGAGGCGAAAATGTGTTTAGTTGCAGGAACAAGTTGAAGGAGAACAAGCTTTTCGAATACCTTAGAGAGGGATGACAATATTACCACTGGACGTAGGTTAGTCGCTACACTAGGATCATTTGACTTTGGAATTGGAACTATGAAGCCCCGCTTAAATATTTCCGGGAAGATACCAACTTGCAGGGATTTGTTGAAAAGTACAGTTAATATTAGTGCTAAGATGTCAGCACAATGCTTCAGTACAGAAGGGGGTACACTATCTGGACCGCAGCCCTTGGATTCATCAAGACTTTTAAGTTCGGAGAGGACATCCTTTTCACATATCATTAAGGAGCTGATGTTTAAACTGGTGTTGACATCAAAAACTAGATTACTTGGGATCGGGGGTGCAAATACACTTGAGAAATAATGGGCGAGCAGATTGCACATGTCGAGTGGCTCTGATGCTTCAATATCGTTGTACTTTATCTTTGTTGGGACAGTCTGAACCCTTTTCATCCTATTTATATGGCTCCACAGGGGTCTTGGATTGTTAGAGAAGGTCGAGTCTAGATGAGAGATGTAGTCATTGTAGCATCTGGTGGCAAGGAGAGAACATCTTCTTCGCAAGGTCCTGAATTTATCCAGATCGGGATACTGACCATGTAGTTTGAAGTCACGGTGAGCAATTTTTTTCTCGATAGTAAGTTGTCGAAGTTCCCTTGAGAACCAAGTTGGGAAACTTGCGTTTCCTAAGCGTTTCAAAGGTGTATTCTTTAGTACAACGTGTTGAAGTTTTTCAATTAAACCTTGAAACAAGAAATCCACATCGGTCACCGACTCGTCCATGGAGAGGTTTGTGGCGGCAAGATCATTTCTAACAGCTTTGACGTCACAGCGGCGAAAATCAGGAATGAAGGAAGGCAAGTCGGACTCAGAAGATTTCTGAATGTTACAGTCAATATCAAAGTTGAGAGCAGGGTGATGGAGTTCCTCCTCAACAATTGGGTCCAAAGCTCTTATGATTTTTAGTGAATGGTCTGAGGTGAAGATTAGGTCAAGTGTTTTACCTCGTGAGCTTAAAATATTATTCATTTGCTTGAGGTTAAACATATCTGCGAGGTCGACAAGGCATTGTGCAGCAGGGGAACTAGCCGAAGTGATGGGGGTGGTCCAATCAGTCCCTGGGACATTGAAGTCTCCTAAGATGAAGCATGAATGAGTTGGATAACTTACCAAGGTGGCAGTTACAAGATGTGAAAAATTGAGATATGTAGCGGCCGGTTTGCTGGGAGGAACATAAGCTACACAGAACAGCAGAGGCCGAGTCCCAATGACGATAGAGAGAAAAAGAGCCTCAAATTTGCCACGCTCTAAACTAATCACTGATGACTTAAGGTCCTTCCTAACTGCAACAAGAATGCCACCACCAGATGTTTTGCTTGTTGAAATGAGGGATCTGTCGCATCTGAATATGTTGTGATTAGTGAAACCAAGCTCGCCATCACTAATTTCTTCCTGAAGATTTGATTCAACAGCAAATATGATATCGTATGAGGTAGAGGGGGCTTTTTGACGAAGGTTCTGAGTCTTAGACCGCAAGCCATTCACATTTTGAAAGTAGACACTCAACCTCGAAGAAGTACGAGTTTCATGCTTTACTCGTTTTTTGAAGGAGCGGGCATGGTGATGATTTTCGGGACGCCTTTGATAAACTTAATTGTGATGTTCTCCTCGCCATTATTCTTCCTTAGGTGTACATATGATAATCACCCCTACGACTAAGTGACTGGAGATCATTTTTTACATGCACAACTGAAACAAAGACATACAAACTACAAACAGTCATGATTTCCTCATTTACAAAGAGAGGTCTGCAATGGGCATCATACTCAGCGTTTGCTAGGATTCTTAGAGCTCTTTTTTGTATTAGCAATACATCATTAATTTCAGCAGACCCACCCCAGAGTCTGAGCCCATCAAAAGAACTCCTTGAAAAAAAACTACATAGGCTTTTTTTAAACAGTTTTTATTCAGACAACTTTTTAGACTTCTCAAAAGGAAGATAACTCTGGAGAGTTTACTACATACCAAGGTTATTTGTCATTCAATTTTGCCATTTGCTCATATTCATTCTTAGATATATTTACACATGAGATGTGATACCACCTCGAGCAAAAACCTTCACAAGCTAGAGCATTATTATTACTTTTCACTAATTTGAAACAACTACCACAATTTCGGGTCAAGTATACTATCCGCCATGACAGGCAACTCAGGCAACTTAACTTATGCTTCTCTACTTAACAGTGCTAAGCTTAACTTAACTTAGGCCTACTGTAACTGAACTTAACTTACATGGTTCTGATTTCAGCTGTGAATCCAAAGGATGGCAGTTAGTCCTGTTCCATTGTCACATATCAGCGTTGAAGATAATGAGTGAGTAGAATTACTTTTAAGTAATCCTGATAAGTTAAATGTGCGGTAGCCTAAATTTCTATATTACGGACACATGATATTTCACCTTAAAAATAACTAGTGTACCTGTTGCTCGAATTCGAGCAATTGCGAAGCATTACAGGCGTTATTTTAAAATAATTTCCGATTACTTTATAAGAGTCAACTCGAAGATTAATACTCAAGATGTACACAACAGTTAGATATAATTAAAATTGTTTGTAAATATCTTATCTTTTTTTTCAAAAGTTGACCTTGTTTTTTAGTGTTTTCTATGAATGCTTCCCACTCATAGCCGCATCAGGTTGTCTATAATAACGATTATAAATGAAAAAAAAACAACATTATTTCTATTTCTTCTACTGTACTTGGTTGTGTTCTACGACTTTCCTGTTTCCATTGTTTGCAAATCGGCTCTTTCAATTATTGCTCAAGAAATGTAGCACAGTGTTAATTCAGTTGTATTTTTAGTATATCAAATTGTCCATAATTTCTCGCTTTACGTGCAATCTGTTTGCACGTAAGTGGAAGGAGTTTGCAAGGAAGTGGTAAAAAAGGCCGAAACCAACCCATACAATAGATATAAGTTAACTCCATAAGAAATAATTTTAAGAGTTACTGTGATATTAGGATTTTCCACTGATTTGGTAAAAGAACATTATGTTGCAAAACATAGCTCGATTCAGAAGAAAATCGATTTTAAAATCAGCAAAAACCATTGAAAATACTTCATTTTGACAAATTTAGTAAATCACAATTTAAATATTAACAGCTGTTTCATTAAAAAGTAGTGTAAATGTATGCATATATGGCCGTGATGTAAACAAATCTGAAGAGGGGACTTTAAAGGCCTCTGGGGCAGAGCCCCAAGGGAATTTACCTTGTTTCTCTTTTGATGGCTCATCTACAGACTAAGACCTTTCTTTAGAGGCCCCTACCAAGTTTCTACGCCTAGCCGTTCTCTGATATTAGCTGTGACAAAAACCCTTTTTTCCTCCATAAGAATAACATGGGATGGGAATTTAAAGGCCACTGGGGCAGAGCCCCAAGGGAATTTACCACGTTTCTCTTTTGATGGTTCATCTACAGACCAAGACCTTTCTTTAGAGACCCCTACCGAGTTTCTACACCCAGCCGTTCTCTCAAATTAGCTGTCACAAAGAAAAACAGTTTCAAATTAATATATAGATACTTCACTTATGAGTTAGCGCAGAATTACATCTAGACCTTGATCACCTCTGTAAATATGTTTTTTTTTTTTACTTTTTTTACTAAGATTTAACTTACGGTACTTGAATACTTGTCTCCTCCATCGATGGCCAACATGTCGGATAGATTGTGTCATGTTTTTTTTTTTTTTAAACTTCTATTTACATAGCCTAAACATATTTATACTAATTACTTCAAAAAATATATATATACTTTAATACTTTGTTTAGGCGCCTACAGTACATAATAGACAATAGACAAAAGACAATTAAGAGATAAGACATAAGATATAACCAAAGCAGTATGAGAGCGGATCTATATTTCAATATTGTAGATCACTTTTATAATTTTGTACAACATAATATTTTTCATATTTCTCTAATCAGTCATAGAAATTACTTTAGAGAGACACTTTGATTGAGATCTTGGGTTTTGTTGTTTATTCTTTTATTAAAAGTTGTAGTTTTGCTCTATTTCGAACAACAGGTTATCTAGTTATTATTATTACCTGTACCTATATTATTCTTTCAGTCGAACTTGCTGGATCTGTTTTGCAACAGATGAAGATGGTCCTGCTTTTAAATGGGTGCATCCCTGTGGTTGCAAGGGTTCTGGAAAATGGGTAAGTAAATTATTTTATATGAATCAAAACATTTTAAGATGGTTTTTGCAAATTTCACATAGGGCATTGGCCAGGGGTCTCAAACCTTTTCCCTTTGAGGGCCCCATTGTATATTTCTGAAGAAAAGGCGGGCCAGTCATATTTCAGTGCAGAAATTTAAACTCCCTCCCCCATAAACCCAAGAAGTTATTAACTAGCCTAATAAAGAGTTTAATTGCAGTTTTAAAAATCTTTCTTTCTTATTTTGTATAACTTGCTTATTTACGTTGATATAACTTGTTGGCTAGCTATACTTCCAAATAGGCATACTAAAAACACAAGATGACATAATTTTTCCTATCTGCAGTAATACTTACTTACTTACTGCCCTGGCCATTTGTACCCCAGTTGGTACTTGGCCTCAGCAACACAGCGCCTCCATCCGTCTCTTTCTTCAGCATAGAGAATATGTCGTCTGCTACATTGTATTGCATTGAAGATTTGTGAAGTTTTTAAAGTTTAATTTTGATGGTTTAGATCTTTTGAAAGTGTTTAAAATCTAGTCAAAGATGTTTGGTAATGTATTTGAATATATCTAAAAGACTAAATATGGCCCCTTTTTCAAAAATATTTATCTAAAGTGGAAAACTAAAACTCACGTTTTTTATTGCTGAAAACCACATGTTTTCACTGCTGAAACTTTATAACCATAACACTTTACTTGGTTCACTACAGTAATAAAAACTAATTTAAAACGTTGGGTCTCACTTCAATAATTATATTACTACAAAGTATAACCGCACTCACTGAAATAAATTTTTACTTTTTGTTAACTGAGAGACAGGAAATAGAACTGGTTTGACTCTGGATGTGACTACTTCATGTTTCAACAAATTATCATGTAGAGTTCCCACCACCCACCCCACCCATCGCTGAAAACTCAAGCTCCATCAGTGAACTTTGTACCCACATTGGCTGCTTGTCAAACCACCTGTCAACATTCTGTTTACAAACAAACTGATTAAGCAGCATTGTTAATGCCATAATATTGTTATCTCTGTACTACAGTCACGTTTAGGATATTATTATCATTGATGCCCTTATTTTAATCAAATAATTGAAAGGGTTGACTGGTCCAGAATATTTATTTGTATATATAATGTAGATAAATTATCTGTTTTCTATTGTATGTTTAAATCAAATCATGACTGTAAATAATTTAGTACCTCCCGGATGGGGAAGGAAAGAAGTCATTAGAAAAAAAGGTTTAACCCTTTGGCTGCTATGCAACGATATATCGTCGTTGGCATTCATGCCGAGAACTGCTACGCAACGATATATCGTTGTTGGCTTTTGTTCCGAGAACTGCTATGCAACGATATATCGTTGTTACGAATTTTTTTTTTTACGGCGCTAAATATTACGTTATTTTTATGCGGTTTGCGGCAAATGACGGTTTAATAAGTGTACTGTTCGTTAAAAATTATAACAACACTTGTATTTGTCGAGTTTTATATAGTACACTAATAACGAAAACAGCTGTGATCTAGACTGCACTGGAACAGAGTTATCTGCGTAGTTGGAGCAGACAGCTGTTATTGATGTTCTGAAGTTTAGTGCTTTGGTGTTTCTATGGTTATGCGACGTTTGTTATGAACAAGTTTATTTTATAGTTGGTGTTTTAGTGAGTTGACGAATTAAACCTTGTGAATAAAGAATATTTGATTGATTGATTGATTCATCCTCCTCTCCAATTCCCAGCCGCCTCATGTCTTGTTGCACCTGGTTCCACCATTTAGTCTTTGGTCGACCCCTGGGTCTTCGTCCCTCTAGTGTTCCCCTCAGAATGTTCTTCAGGTTTGACTCTTCTTCTCTTCTTAGTATGTGTCCTGCCCATTTTAGTCTCCTACTTCTTATTTCTCCGATGATGTCTGCATTTTTGTACATTTCTCTTACTTCCTGGTTGTGCCTCTTCCTCCACTCTCCATTTTCTAGCGTTGAGCCAAAAATTTTTCTCAATACTTTATTTTCAAAAACTATTATTTTTCTTTCTTCTTTTTTGTTCAGGATCCAAGTCTCTGAACCATATAAAATTACTGGTCGGATTATTGTTTTATACAGACGTAATTTTGTTGTGTGGGATAATAATTTTGAGCTCATTAATTTATTGCAGGCATAGAGACGTTTGTTTGCGGCATTTAGTCTATTCTGTACTTCTAGATCTTCTCTGCTTTGTCCTGATATTACGGTACCCAGGTATGTAAATGTATCTACTCTTCTAAATCTGTGGCTTCCAACTTCCAGAAAATCATCTTCCCTAAGGTCTTCTTGGGTCCTCCCTACTATCATATAGTTAGTCTTTGAGTCATTTATTTTTAATCCTGTTTTTCCTGTGTTTAAAACTAGTAATTTTGTGAGGTCTATTAAGTCTTGTTTGGTTTTTGCCATCAAAACTAAATCATCTGCAAAGGCTAAAATGTTTAAGGATTTGCCAATTTTGATTCCAATATCAGAGTTTTTTACTTTTTGCATGGAGTCTTCCAGGGCTATATTTTTAATAGAGTGGGGGAAAGTCCATCACCTTGTCTAACTCCTGTATCCACTTCAAAATCGTCAGACATTTCTCCTTCTACTTTGACCTTACATCTTGAGTTTACTACACTTAAACTGGACAACCTTATTAGTTTTTCCGGTATCCCAAAACTTTCCATTATTTCCCATATACCGTACGCTGCCTGTTGAGGCTGTCGTATGCTTTGGCGAAATCCACAAATAAGCAGAAGAAATTTTGGTTATATTCCCAATGTTTGGCAATTGATTCTTTTAGAATAAAGATTTGATCTATCGTTGATTTTCCTCTCCTAAAACCAGCCTGGTGTTCTCCAATGATTGTTTCCACATACTCTTCTAGTCTCCTCTGTATTACTTTTGAGAGTACTTTGTAGGTGCTTGCTAACAATGAAATTCCTCTATAATTGTTACAATTACGCTTGTCTCCTTTTTTAAATATTGGGATTATGATAGCCTCTTGCCAGTCCTTTGGAATTGTCTCCTGTTCCCAAATTTTTAGAATAAGTTTATGTATTTGTCTGCTTAGTCCGTCTCCTCCTGTTTTTAGTAATTCTATGGTTATTCCGTCTATTCCCGGAGCTTTATTATTTTTCATGCTTTTGATTGTGTTTTTTATTTCTTCTAAAGTGGGTTCTGGAACCCACACACACAGGTTCCTCGTTTGTTTCTTGGAAGGCTTCATTTAGTAACTCCATAAAGTATTCTCGCCATCTATCTAAACATTCTTCTTTATTTATTATTATGTTTCCATCTTTGTCGGTGATCCCAAATGTGCTGGGTGTAAACCCCTTCTTGAAGCAGCGTACTGACCTGTAGAAGTCTCTGCTGTTGTTGGCTGTTCTGTCTTGTTCCGCTTTTTCTATCAGGCTGTTCATCCAGTCACGTTTTTTCTTTCTAAGAATCTTGACTGTTTCTCTATTTTGCATGATATAATTTTCTTTGTTATTTCAGTTTTGTTGGTTTAACCACTTTCCTTTCACTGCTTTTCTTTTGTAGACCGCATCTCTACAGTCCTCATCAAACCAGGGTTTTTCTTCTTCTTTTTCTTCTGTCCACACACTTCTAGGGCACATTCTTGAATAGAATTTTTCAATCTGTTCCACTGGTTTTCTACATTTTCTTCAGTTTCTTCCTCTTCTAAAACTTGGAATCTGTTCTGCAGTTTTATTTTGTATTCTCTGGTGATGTTTTTTTCTTTGATTCTTTCTGTAGCAATCACTTTATCCGTTTCATTCTTATTTCTATTTCCCACTCCTATTCTTTGGTTAATGGTAACTAACACTAGACAATGATCTGAACCACACTCAGCTTTTCTGATACTTCTAACATTGGTGATGTTCCTGTGGTGTCTTCTGTCTATGAGAACATGGTCGATTTGGTTAAGTGTTGTACCGTTTGGGTGCATCCATGTCGCTTTGTGGAAAGCTTTCCGTGGGAAGTATGTGCTCATTATCTTCATCTCTCCTGCTTCTGCTAGGGATAAAAGTCTAACTCCGTTGTCGTTACTCTCTTCATGAAGACTTTCCTTTCCTGCCACCGCATTCCACATCTGTTCCTTGCCTACTTTTGCATTTGCATCTCCTAGAAGTATTTTTACATCATAATTAGGTAAATTCCTCCACCCTTCTTCTAGCATTTCATAGAATTTGTCTTCTTCTTCATCTTCTGCATCTTCGGTCGGAGCATAGAAGCTTTCAGACCACTTACTCAGACCACTAATATCATAACCTTCATTTTCACTGTCACAAAAATCAATGTTCAGTCCTGATTCTCTAGCAAATTGTCCGATTGTACCCTCGTTAACTGGCGAGTTACAATGTTTTTTGTCGCCCATATTACTCCAAAATAGCTAACAACAATAACCGAAGTAGTTGTAAACGCAATATAAACACACAATACGCCGGTTGTAAGCGAAGCTTCTCACAGCTGTAGTCTGCAAGCGGTACACATTCCAAGCGGCACAGCGGCAGACGCCACTGCCACGTAGATTACGTCATCACTGTTGTACACGCACTATATAAAAACATTTCCTATTAGCTAATTTATTTCCCTTCAATTTGACGCATTCTGCATGAAAATATATAATAAACAGCAGAGATTGTAAAATTCTATATATCGGATCTTAGCATTTTTCGGCAAAATTACATCATCCGATATATCGGATCTTAGCACTTTTCGTGACAAAGCCGTGATCCAATATATCGGATCATAGCACCAAAAGGGTTAACCGGTCATTTACTAGGCAAGTCGCCCTAACAAAGAAAAGTCTTTTGGTATTTGCAGTAAACATGAAATAAAACTGTTTTTTAGTTGTACATTTCTAAGTTTTCTTATAAATTTTAATGTTCTGTTAGCATATTTTGAAACCAAACCTCATAAAATCAAAAGACATCTAGTTTACAGTGTAATATTGAATTAGTCCTTGATTTAGTTTGATAAGGCTATTATAA